CAGAATTCTTAGAGTTTAGCAATAATACAGATGATTAGAATTGATAGAACCATATAAACACAGATACAGGTCGAGCCAAATTATAAACAGCAGTATAAAGAAAAACACAGAAGATATAAAATAATAAGACCTAACAGAAACGCGAAACAGAGCATCTTCTCTCACCTCTATTATTAATATATATCTATAATTATTTTTTATATTTTTTTATATTATTCTGCGTATACAATAATAATTTATGTAACAATATAAATAACATTATAAATATGTCTAACTCATCAATAATATAGATAAACATCAATCTAAGCATATCTATAAATAATAATACCTAAAATCTACTTTTCATAAGAACACAAGTAAATTTCTAATCATTTAAAGTTGAATTCTCCTTATTATAGTGGTATTTGCAAACAGAATACAAAAAATATTATTTCTGCTAGTATTAAAAAAGCTACTTTCATATAAATCTATAAAAAATGGATAATTAAGATATAATAAACAAACCTAGTATTAACATATATACCGAGAAAACTTTAATATATAATCGTACCTACTTTCTATAAAATCGGAATATAAACGTGTAAACACCGGGCAATACAATCTTTTTGATCAAAAAATAATGCATACTTTCAATTTGTTTAACTCACATCTAATAATAGATTTTATAAATAATGAATAAATTAACTTTAAGTTATCATTTATAAAATTATTAATAATGAAATATAATTTACCGATGGTTACAATATTTACAGAGAATTTTAATATCCATTAATAATATTCATATTAAGACTTTTTTATTCATGTGAAATCATATCATTATTTCATATATAAATCATGTGATATGTAAAATTTTCTTAAATACATAATCACAAAAATTTTCCTAAAAGTAAAAAAAAAAAAAAGAAATTTGAAAAAAAAAAAAAAAAGTACATACATAGTCAATTAGGTTCACTTGTTACAATAAGGCCTCATTTTGTTTGAGTTCCAGAAAAGTTACTTTTTAAGAAATATATAGTATGATTATGTTTGGTTGAGATTTGATTTTCCAGGAAATAAAATTATATTAATAAAATTTTACATATAAAATGTCAACAATAACCCTGCCATGAATTTAAGTATATTAATTAAAATAATTGATTGAAAAAACCTATGAAGCACATTTTACAAATATTGCCACCATTTAACTCATCTTATATTCAATAATAATATATATATATATTATATATATATAGATATATATATATATATATAGCTATATAGTAAATATTTTTTTTCTAGAAAGTGCCAAATGGAATTGCTAAAATTTGGTAGTGCTATGTAGTACTCCCTTCATCCAAAAAAGATAGTCCGTCTTTTCTTTTTTATTTGTCTCAAAATATAGTTTACTTTCATTTTTTGCATTATAGCTAATCCTAAGATTGTCTATTATACATTTATTAAATTTTACCTTGTTTTCAATAACTCTCATTAATTTTTACTTATTATTTCAATATAATAATTTCTCACGTGTTATTTAAGATGGATATAATATGAAAGTTATATGAATAAAATTATCTTTTAACAATAATAATTGTTACTTTTTAAATTTAAAAAGTTAAGTTATGCCACCTAGGATTCCAAAATGTTTTAAAAATTTATAATCATGATATATTAATTTTTTTAATTTCTTATTGATTGAAATTAATTTGTGAATAAATGCAAAAACATAAATGTGAAGATATAATAATCAATAATATAGTAAAAATAATAATCATTTGACTAAATAAATAATTAGCACAATAAAAATTTCTCCACTAAATGAAATAATCATTTCAAGATCATAAATTTTATTTGACTATATAAATAAATAAAATTAAATAATATTTTAATATTTTTGTAAACATTTGTTTTCAGTTGTAATTATTTTTAATAATTGGTTTCTATATAAATAAATAAAATTAAATATAATATTTTATTTTGTAACATTTGTATCATGTATATTTTTTAAATGGTTTGATATCATAATTATAACTTACAAAATTTTTAAATATATTTGCTAAATTAAATTTAAATATTGCAAATTTCAAAATTATTTATCTACAAGTATATTATATAAATAAAAAATATTTGAATAAAAAGTGTGATACAAAAAGTGTAAATTTAAATATTAAAAATTAAATTATTTGTGCATAGCACAAGCATGTAGCTAGTTGATAACAAAGAAAGGACTCTTGTTGGCACTTTGGAAAAGGTAAAAGATAAAGAAAGGAGAAATATTGGTATATTAAAAGCAAAGGCAAAATTGAAATTTCCTAATTTCTCAAGTCAAGAAGTGCATTTCCTTGGGCCGAGGGGTAACTTACTTCTCGTACGGTCAATGAAGTAAGGGTTTTAAGTTTCCGAGAACTTCTACATCTTTGAGAACAAAACAAGACTGCGTTCCTTATATTTCGAGAACTTCAAGTTCCTGAGCTAAGTAACCCCAACCAAACGAGGCTTAAGTTAGCATGGCAAATAGTACAAAAGAATGTATCTATACTAGTATAGAATGTTTAAATTCTTTAATGTAATAAAAGTTGGTACCAAATAATCACCTCTAGGAATAAAAAATTGTTAAATTATCAAGCCATTTAATAAGGAAAATTCATAACTTTATTCTTAAATTTTTTTTATTTTGATATTATAGCATCTTTAACTTTTATTTTGACTCATTTAATATTTCGACTGATAAAATTATATCTATTAAGTTTTTAAACTTACAAAATCATTTTATCGAACATTTCAATTTATAAAATTAGGTTAATTAATAAATAGTTGAAAAATGTTAAACTTATTATTGTAAAGATTATATTAACTACATATTAAATCAATATTTTACATATAAAAAATAAATTTCGTAAAAATTATTATTATTAATATAAAAAATATATAATATTACTAAAATTTATAATTTAAATGCAGATTAGATTATCTGAAAACTTCAGAATGCTACAGAAATAAAAATTGAAAAATTCAGAATGAATTTATAAATTTTGCCCCATTAAATATGATACAACGGTCAAAAGCCAAACGATACAAAATTATGGTATGATCCATAACCGGAAAACCATCATTGTCTCGTGACTCTCATTACTACTAAAACACCAAAATGGGGCGCCTGAATGAAGACACGTGGACAAAATCAATGGACAAGCAAATGGAGGGAGCTCCAGTAATTTGACTTCAAATAGAAATAGTACGCTCACAATATTAAAGATGTAAGATCCGAATTTTTCTTCCAACTTTTTGTAATGTTTAAATTTAAATTGGTTTTAACTATAGAACTGTTTATGTTCGCGTGTCATTTTATTAATGTACTTTTTACTCTTCATATTAATAATAAGATCAATTAAAACATGTCTCATTGGCATAAACAAAGTAATTATTATTGCTACCTATATTAACCAATTCCATAACTTTGATTGCTTAATTCTTAAATCATATTAATAGTAATATTAGTATTTTAAATATATTGAGGAAAAATTATGCAAAAACCGTATAAGTTTTGTTTTTATTTTCACATAGATATTATATGTCATTCTGAATAGAGAATTAAATAAATCAAATTATTGTATTAAATCGAAAATAAGTTTCTTTCGAATGATGAAAGCAATAAGGAGCTCTATTTTCGTAGAAACGAAGAATGTATTTTTATAATATTTAATTATTTAAAAGTAAATTGTTGTTTAGGATGGTTTAATTTTGATAAATTAATTTAAAAAATTTGGTCATTTTAAATTCTAAAAAAATATGAAAAGTTTTTAATAATTTCAATTGAATAGTAATATGCTGCCCCAAGAACATTTGAAGTGGAATTCAAAGGGGGTGAAAAATAAAGAAGAGAGAAAAGGAAAGTGGTCCAAAAGAATCACTCCTACTCCTAGCAATGAAGAATTGCAACTTTATTCTTAATTCCATAACATATCCCGTTGTCATCCACCACCACCATTTTTCTTTTTTTAAACAAAAAATGTGGGACCCTACACTAATAGCAAGAGGACAGAATCATTTGGTATAGTTAACCATAAATCATCCATCCAAATCCAATGCCCAAACAAAACCTTCCAGCTTTCATTGTGTGCTGAGCTGTCACCAGCTTTGCCTCTTTCTTAGTTCCCAAAGTTATTGCACTATACATATTTTATATTTTAATTTTATGCATATATTCAAATCAGTTTGGTCTCTTTCTCTAAAATAATTTAGCTTTTGAAAAAAATTTTTTAAATAATTTATTTTTTATTATTTATTCATAATATTTAAAACTGATTAAAAGATATTAAAATTTTTAATTTGTAGACTATGAAATATTAAAAACTAAAGAACTTATATTGTTAAAATTCATTATTAAATATAAGAAAAAAATATGTAAAATTACTATTGGTAATGATTATAGTGATTGATAACTGGTGACTCATAATTATGAACTGTGATTTATAAATCTGAACTGTGATTTATAAATCTATAATTATGAAATTATAATAAATTTATTCATATTCAGAAAAAATATATTTTTTTTTAAAAAGTATTTTTCTTTAAAACGATTTAATAAAATACTATAGTTTACAGCGTAATAAAAATTTGATTTAACGTCAGTATAACGATCAATTTCTTCAAATAAAAATTCAAGTTTAAAGTAATTTTTCAAGCAATCTCAATAGCATATTCATTCATATTGGCTTAGCGAATTCAGAAAAATTATTTGTAATTTCAAAATACTTCCCAATGAAAGTAAACTCATGATCTCACTATTAACTTCGCGATTATTTTATTTTTTTAACTAATCTTTTTATTTTAAATTATAATTCTTTACACCCAATAACAATTATCTAACATACATATTATAATAATTTTTTTTAAAAAAATTAGAAAAAATATTTTTGGGGGGCGGGAATGGCCCACCCCGTGAGAAAGCTGGGGCTCACGGGACTATGAAACCCAGCAGCGAGCAACAGCAAGCATTCTCCTCTATCTATATATATACACACCTCTACTCGTAAAACCCTATCAATCTCTCTCTTTATCTCTCAGTTCCTCTCTGTTCAATTCTAAAACAAACAAAAATGGGTATTTCTTACAATGGGTTAGTACTGTTGGGCGCGATAATGGGTTGTTGTTTTCTGGTAGGAGTTTCAGCTGGTAACTTCTACCAAGATTTTGACATAACTTGGGGAGGGCAGAGAGCGAAGATTTTCAGAGGAGGGCAGCTTCTTTCTTTGTCGTTAGATAGGGTTTCTGGGTCTGGATTTCAATCCAAGAATGAGTATTTGTTTGGAAGAATTGATATGCAGCTTAAGCTTGTTGCTGGGAACTCTGCTGGCACTGTCACTGCCTATTATGTACATTTCATCTACCATTTTTAGTGTCTTTCTTCCTTTTTTTAATTAATCAATGTGTTTTCTTTTTAATTAACTGAATAGAATAAACCAGTCATTTTCAACTTAGAATGAAAAAGATTTTGAAAAGCAACTTTGAAGAAAAAGAGAGAGTCACGAGATTGATTGTCAGTCTGACCTACTTAATTTAATTAGACTTATCATCACATGATGCAAAAACTTATTTACCTATATTAGAAAATGTGAATAAATTTTTTTTTTCAAAGTGTTCTTTTCATGATTATAAATTTATCTGAACTAGATTAATGACTCTATTTATGATTCAGACAAATGAAATTCTGATTAATAAATTTGTGTGTATTTTGTTACGCAGTTGTCATCTCAAGGGCCAACTCACGACGAAATAGATTTTGAGTTCTTGGGAAATGTGACAGGAGAACCTTACATTTTGCACACCAATGTCTTCACGCAAGGCCAGGGGAACAGAGAGCAACAATTCTATCTTTGGTTCGACCCCACAAGAAACTTTCACACTTACTCCATCATTTGGAAGCCCCAACACATTATGTAAGTAAAACTTTCATTTCATTTAGATCAAACCAATTAGGGTTTATAACAAAATGACCCTTCAAGTTTTTTTTTTTTTCAATGTACACTTAATCCTTATTGTTTCAAAAGTTAATGGTTTTTGTCCCTAAAATTCGGTTCAATTTTTTGGTTTTGGGTTAAATCAGTTTTATTTTTAAAACCAAACCGAAGCAAAAAAATTTTGATTTTTCTTCTATTAAAACTAAAAGCAATCCGAATTTTTTAAAACCAAATTACTTGATTTGATTTGGTTCTATTGGCTTTACCAATTAGTCACACAGTTAAAATATATATTTTTTTCGGTATTTTTCAGATTTTTGGTGGACAATACTCCTATAAGAGTATTCAGAAATGCAGAATCACTCGGTGTTCCTTTCCCAAAAAACCAACCAATGAGGATTTACTCTAGTCTTTGGAATGCTGATGACTGGGCAACAAGGGGTGGATTGGTAAAAACAGACTGGACAAAGGCACCATTTACAGCTTACTACAGAAATTTCAATGTCAATGCAATATCTTCAAGCTCATTTTCAGACAGTGCCTTTCAGACCAATGAGCTTGATGCCCCTAGCAGGAGAAGACTCCGATGGGTTCAAAAATATTTCATGATCTACAACTACTGTAGTGATTTGAAAAGGTTCCCGCAAGGCCTCCCTACTGAGTGCAGACATGCTTAAGTCGGAGTCGGGTTGAGTTTGTGATATATATTCCACGGTTTATTTATAATTCTTTAGTTGAATTATTCCTCGTTTTTATCCAGGTTTCCTTCGCTTGGTAATTGGAGGATGAAAATAAATAAATAAACAAATTCTTTGTTTCTTGTGTTTTTTTTTTTTTTTTAATACTCACTTTGTGAGGTTGTTGATGGATGTAAATTTTGTTTTAGATAATAAAATTTCTTATTTGAGTTTTCTCTTATTAAGCATTGCACCAAAGGTTCTTTTTTTCTTTCTTTTTTTTTTTTTTTAATTTTTGATTTTTTTTTTTTTTTTAATTTTTGATTTTTTGATTTTATTATTTGTTTTCAAATTTTTTCTGTATTGTCAAAATTTTTTAGGTTTTAAGATTGTGATCGAAGAAATTACTTCAATCATACATCAAAATAAAAAAACAAAAGTATTTACAGAATAATGCTCAATCTCCCACTTGAACTTAAAAGCAATATACAATTTGCTCTCAAATTAATTTTTTATACAATGTATTCCCTAAACTTACACTAAAAAAACAAAAACCCTAATCTTTTACTAAAAAAACTAAATATTTAATTTAAATTCAAGTATAATTATACATAATTAAATATTTGATTTAAAATAAAATATAATTAATAAAAAATAATTTTTTATCAAATCAAGTATTTTTCTAATTCCATAATATTTAAATCAAATATTTTGTTTAATTATTTTTTAAATCAAAGACATTACATTGTAATTTTTTATAATTATTGCTATTTTTAATAATTTTATTTTCTAATTTTAAACTTCTTAAATTATTTTTATTCATAAAAAAATTAAAAATTATTGTTTATAAAAAATGAATTTTTTATCTTTTGGTGCAACTTGTATATTGCTCAAGTTTTACAGGACAAATTCAATTTTATTCCTATATTTATTTTAAAAATAGAGAAATATATGTATAATATTTAAGAAAAAAATAAAATTAATTTCAATAATCATTTAATATTTTCACAATAATAATTATTAAAAATTTATTAATTAATTAGCATTTCATAAGCTAGACGACAATAATTAGATCACTAGATAATTAATAACTAATGATCTGTTTGCTACAGATGAACTCAAAATATAGGTAAATGAATTTTTCATATTTGAAATAAATTAAAAATTGAAAATTTATTTATTTTTATCTTTAAAATACTCTTGGTATAGTAATTTTAGAAGATCACGAAAATAAAAAGTCTATTATAAAAATTTTAAATTGTTTAAATTTATGAAATTCATTTAAAATTTTTAATTTTTAATAATAATTAATTAATTATATTCAAATTCATAAAATTAAATTTATAAAATTTTATTTCTTTTTATTTTTTACTATCAGATATAAAATTTAAATTTATAAATAAATTTCATAAAGATTGTATGGAATTCATTTACCCCAAGGTAAGGGATGAGTGTTATAAAATTATATTTTTCCATAAAGAGTCACACCATTGCAATAATTCAAGTCAGAAATCAGATCGCACTTTGCGATGCTATCTGAATAAGGTTTTATTTCTGTGTCTGTCATCTGTCTGTGTGACTGACATGTCCCTTGTGATAGTAGCTTAGCTAGCATTTCTTGAATTACGTAATTTACTATATTATTAGTAATACTTATCCTATTTCTAACTGGATGGATACAATTTCGACAGGACTTTTAAGGAGCTTTTGCTGGAATTTTTATTTTATATCTATATACACACTTGTTTCCATTCAGTTGTGGACAGAGGTAGCTAAATTTCGGTTTTTTAAATCCAACCGTGCGCTCAAAACCGGTTGAAATCTGAATTAAAATCATAACTAAGGAGGTTGCAATTTAGTTCCGATTCTTAGCTTTTTAGAATCATGAACCATTAATTCTGAGAATTGGCTAGAATCGAAAGTTTGACAACCGATTAGAACCGGCAGTTTCAATACATTTTTTTTTTATTTTTTAAATAATTTTTATCAAAATCTCTAAATCAACCTCCTAACAACGTTAAACGGCTATATAACACCTAATTATATTAAGAGTATTTGTGTAAGTTGGATTTTTTTTATTTTAAAATTATGCGAATCGTCCGAAACCGTCGGTTTTGAAACTGTTGAGAACCGCAACCGGCTGGTTCTAATCAAACATGTTTGGTTAAGCTGTTGATATTAGTTGATAGATAATGATTAGTAGTAATTAGTTGATAAATATTGTCCGGTAAAATTTTAACGGCGGTTGCTATTAGAAAATAAAATGACTATATATATATATATATATATATTATATATAAATTCCGAAGAAAAACGTTTTAAATTTGCTGACCGGCTCTCTCCCTTTGTAAGCATTCTATTTTCCTCTTCTTATAAAATTTTGGATTTTTCATTTTTTTTTTATATATATTTTTCATGTTTCAATTATATATATATATATATTTTTAAAATTATTATATATATTTTTAAAATTATTTTCTATAAATAGATATGTATCACTTCGAATTTTTTTCAGATTTGTGAAGAAGGAGCTTACACTTTTTTTGATCGTGTCCTCCTGCATTATTTTTACAGTATTGTTCAGATACTGAAAACAAGTTGTGGATCCTTAAAACTCATAATAAGATTCTTTTGGTAGCTCTTTTTATTTATATAATCCATTTGTATAAATAAGCAAATATATTTATGTTTTGCCTAGAAATTAGAATAGTAATTTAGTGGTATTATTAGTTGGATGCCTATATGGGCAAATATTCTTTATGTTTGTGTGTCTAGGGCATATGCGTAATTTTATTTATTTATTTTACTTACCATATACATTTTCAGGTGCAGGTGGAGATATATGTCTTTTTACAAATATTTGGATTTAAAAAAAATGTTGTTCTTAGACTTTCCTTTATCAGGTAAGGATTTCTCATCCCTTTCTATATTTTTTCCATCTTCAAGATTAATCCTTTTTCTTTCTAAATTTATTTTTAATCTTATTCTCTAAATATTACGATTCTTAATATTTTTTTAAAAAAAAAAAAAATCTTCTTAGATTCTTAGATTCTTTAAATTATCATGATTTCAAATTTTAATTTGTTGTCTAAGATGGTTTATTAATTATATTTTATAACTTTTAAAAGAATAATTCTTTTTTTTTTTTAGTTGATTTATTATTTGTAGATTAGAACTATAAAGAACACTTTAATCCAATACATGAGTAGAGCAAAACAGAGAAGCATGGAGATTTTTTTTTTTCATATGACTATATACTGAGTTCTTCGTGTACTTACAAACATGATGAGTCTTCTATTTATTGAGATTCCACTTGACCAAAAATTTGAATTTTATAAGGAAATTAATTATCAAAGTTAGCTCATCTTTTATACGTTAAATCAATTATTATACTCAAATTTGAATTGTATGCAATGATTTCAGTGGAAGCTTGATATTTTTAATCTTTACTTTAAGACTTTTTTGAATGAAATATGATACTCATCATATATTTCAAAATTTCTATCTATCTTCTATCTAAATTTATTTTTATTATCCTATTTGATAATAGAAAGATATATCAATATTTCAAAAAACTATAAGTTAGAGTGGCTTGGATAGTAATATTTCAAAAAACTATAAGTTAGAGTGGCTTGATAGAGCTCATGCCTTAATGCAAGAAGGAAGAAGGAAGACAAAATTTCAATACTCAATATTGGAATATATTAAAATTACAAATAAATTTTATTCTTAATTTTTGTATTTTAAACGTATAGCTAATTTGACTATGTAAATTACTACTTAAATAGATAACTAAATGATTTTATAAATACAAGTTATTTTCAAGTATTAGTTTAAAAAAATTCAGTTATTAATTAATTAATTTATTCTATTTAAAGATTAGATAGGATATATAAATTAAATTATATATAAACGAGTCTTTTTAATATTATATGAAATACAATTTACAATTATAAAATATAAACTATAAACTATAATATACAACAATAATGAAATATATGAGAAAATGAATATAATACACCACAATATTTTAATACAATTTATAAATTCTAAATTCTAAATAACAAAGTATGTATCACAATAAAGTAATTAACCAGCGCAATGCGCGGGCCTTTATCTAGTTGAAGTTATAATTGTTAATGATATATATCTTTTTACAAATTTTTAAGAGAATATTTTAATATATTATATAAATAAAAAACATTAATTAAAATTTCTTAAAATAATGTTTAACAAAAAGATATTGCTTTTAAATAATTATAAACTAAATTATCACAAAAAATATTAATTTGAAAAAAAATTATCAATAATTATATTTATGGCTGTTCAAATATAATATAAAACAAATCAACTATTAGATACAAAAAAAACTCCAAAACTTAAATCAATTATCAATTACATGAATGGCTGAACCAAATGTCCTGTGAGCTGATTCAATTATCCAATTGAATCTATTTAATATTGGTATTTGAAAAAAAATTAAATATTATACTTAAATGTTGAATATAAATTATTAAACTTCATTTTTTGTACTACATATTTGAGTTGAAGATCATAGTTGTTAAAAATTTATGAATTAAAATCCAAAATTTTAGTTGATATAATTTTGTTCATCAAATATTGGGACTAAATTCATGAAATTAAAGAGAATTTTTTATAATAAAAAATAATTTATAAAATTGAAAGCCATTAAAAAAGGAATTTTACAAAATATGAGTTTTTTTAAGAAGAGATTTAAAATAAATTTTACTCTTATTCTATTATATCCAATAATGATTAGTGTCAAATCTCTAGATTATTTAATGTCCAACGAGTTAAACATATAATTGCAGTTGTAAAAAGTTTAAACAGCTAAATAATACTCTAGAAATGGTTTTAACTACCGGATGTGTTCACAAAATTAATTATTTTAATCACTGCTAGCTGTGCTAGTAATTATCGGTGTTTAATTAGCGTTTCATCAAATAAATATTGAAATTGAAGGGAGTAATGTTTGGTCGCAAACGCTAAGTTTAATTGGCTACCTCAAACTCTAAACATTAAGTTGCCAAATATCGTAAATAATAGAATATAGTGTTTGACCTTAATAAGCACCGCCTCAAAAGCGGTTGCCTAACATGACTTCTAAGAAACTCTAAACTCTTTTTGGTACAACACTTTTATCATCTTTTTTTGATTAGCGATGATTCAGCTTATTTACTCTTTACCCACAAGTTTAATGAGAATATCATGATATACTCAGTTATATTTTTTTACTAGTCAATTGCTGAACTTATTTAAAAAAAAATTCATTCAAAAATTCCATCTCTTTTTATAGAATTTAACTTAATCATATTCAAATTCATAAAATTGACATGAAATTTAAATCTTTATTTCTTCACATAAAATACAAAAATATAAATTTATAAATGAATTCCAGAAAATTTTGTAAAATTCATTTACTCCAAATAAGGATCGAGTGATATTTCTTTTTCCATAAAATAGTTTCCAACAAGCTTAGTGTAAGCCCCATATCCAATGCTGGGAATATAAGACTTGCAATTGCCAAAAGCTAGAACTACAGATCCTTGCCTAGTGACTGAAACAAACATTAACACTAAACACCAATAAGTATTTGTAGCTGTATCCATATTGAAACAGTTGTTCTTCTAGTGATAACATTTGACACTAATAACACTAATTGTACAGCTCATTTCCCCCACTTTGAAGGTATGACTTGCCCAAATGATGCCAATACATCCTACTGTCATTAAAAGTCAGTAGTTTCCAGCAGATACTTATCAATTTGAATACAAATAATCATTTTCATTTTAACCTTGTTCCGGAAAATTAAATGTTTTACCAGCTGTTAGCTGTTTTTGTAACTGACAGCTGTTTTACTAGCGTTTTATTAAACATTAAAAGAAGTAACTTTGTATAATCCGTTCTGTTTCTAAATACAAGTATAAACGCTAGATCACCCAGAACTATGAATGATAAAGGACTGTTTTGACCAAGCTAAAACATTAAACGCTGTATGAAAAACTATTGCTGAACATAGCCTTTGTATAAATAATAAACTTAAGAGCAACTGGTGCACTTAAAAATCTTTCTTTTTCCAAAAAGATAAATCTTTCTTTCACACAAATTCACTGCTTCCCTCTGTTTCCATGGATAAAACACAATTAAGCACTCATTCTGCATATAATAACAACAATCTATGTACTATGTCCATTTACATTGAAACCACTGAGTGAAAAAGCTTCATGACTTATGCTGTATGTTGAACCAAACATTCATGACAAAAATGTATGGCAATTTTTTCACCTCCTACTATCTCAAAATTTTAGAACATTGCTCGGAATTCACCTTTGTAATGATTCTTTCTTCGACATTATTGGAAAATCTCACCCTTGGTCGCACTCCACACTGAAAGTAATATAAAATAGATTTTAGTGAATGTTGGAGGAGAGAAATGTTTTAAATGCTTGAAATGGTATTTGGCACTTACTGTTATTTTGCAGTGAATGTTAAGATCATAATTCATTTGGCAAAGACGGGTTTTTGCTAGTTCTTCTGCTTCAGTTGCTTTCTTGCAAGCCTTTTTCACCTGAATCAAAGTGAAAAAAACTGTAATTTAGAGTTTATTTACCATCTATTATGCCAAGAATGAGATGAATGGAAAGCACAACAGAGTAACAAAGCCCTGGGAGTGATTGCATATTGCTATCACATATTTTGTATTTCTGTTCCTGTAAACACAAATAAAGTTGTGGAAACAAGGTGACAATTTAAACAAAATGGTGTATATTGGCTGAAATAGCTGAAAGTATCATACATCTGAAGGCCAGAACCAAAAGGATGAAACTGAGTATTTTGGGCAAGTCATACGCCAGAAAACAAAGGATCATCATGCACTGATCAGAATTGTGTTGTCCAAACAAATAATAACAGCATCAATCATGGATAATTTCTTCTTTTGACAATTTTCTGGGGACTGAAGGTAAATTAGAGAGAGAGAGAGAGAGAGAGAGAGAGAGAGAGATCTTTGACAATTTCTGGAGACTGAAAGTAAATTAAGAGAGAGAGAGAGAAGAGAGAGAGAGAGAGAGAGAGGGGGGGGGGGGGGGAAATCTATTGTTCTTCAAAATTCCCCTGATAAACTTGGTTTCCCTTCGTTTACTATCATCCTCTAGATACATACATACATACATAACGTGCCAATCTTGAGATCATTAGAATACAGTTTAATAAATATTGGGGGGGGGGGAATCTATTGTTCTTCAAATTCCTATAACTTGGTTTCCCTTCGTTATACTATCATCTCTAGATACATACATACATACATAACGTGCCAATCTTGAGATCATTAGATACAGTTTAAAAATAATTAAAAGCAAGGCTTTAGACATGCTATCGTGCCATTGGGATTGTTTCAAAGCTGACACTTGTTTGATTTTCATTTCAAGAGAGATGAAGTTACCTTTGGATAATTTGTCAATCCTGTTTAAAGTTGACATGAATAATAAAGTACATCAAAGTAGCATCTAGCATGTCATAAGGTGAAGCAAATGCATAATTGTACTAATTAAGAACAGCTAAGTTGTTAGGATCATAAAACTTTTAACATTCGCAGCAAGTATAAGTCAATGCATAATCTTGAGTTCAAGCAGTATTCACCTGGTTGATGCAAATGATCAGGTGATCATTAGAACCAACTGTAGCTTTCTCAAGTGTATTTCGGAGGTCAGTTAGTTCATTGATCAATTCTAAAGCAACTTCTTCAGCATCCTGCATCTGATTTTTGGAGAACTCAAATGCTCTCTCTGCATGGAGGCGAAATGAAGCACAGTTTAAGCAAGTGCAAAGTCCTCTACATCCTCTTCGATATTTCTTAAGGATGCCTTTCTTCAAATCCTGAGCAAGAATTCCCATTGGATTGGTTTCTTCAAGCTTGGATGAGGCTTGAAAAAGGCTGCCAGCATCAAATGGTTCTGCACCATTGGCAGGTTTTGCAACTAAAGTTTTACTATCCTCTTCATTGTCAACAGATAATGGCATGGTAACTGTACTGCTCCCTCTAACCAAACTCATTATAGGAAGGGAACTATCCGACTGGCCATCTTTATGATTTGATATAATATCCACAACAGGCAATTTTTGTTCCGCTTGTGAATCCTTTGATACTGGAGTTTCGCAGTTGAGATCAGCAGTCATTAGATTCTGTTGATTGCTACAAGATGCATGTTTGACAGCCGTGGAGATATCCAATTGCGGAGTAAGTGAAGTAGCATCATGCTCCATATGATGACTTTTACCATTTAATTTCTCCAGTGGAGTTTCATCAATTTCAGACATTGATAATTTTGAGAGCGGCCTTTCTTCTAAGCTCTTCTCAAATTTTGGGTAATGCTCATTCCCAGTATCAACTACAAAAATTGTTTTCAGAGTTAAGCTTCATTATAAAGGCCTAAGTTAACAAAGTAAGGATGTAAAAGAGCTGACAATTTACCAGAATTATCTTTAGCAATATCGATCAGATATGGAAGCAATCTTCGATAGCTAAAGGAGCTTCCAGTCTTAAATATCTTCAGTCGTGAGCATGGATTAATACACTATATCATAATGAACCAACTTAAATTAGAAAAAAATAGTAACAGAACAAAGAACATGCCAAAAATACTAAAAGTACCGGAAAGAATTTTGCACGTTCAAGAAACATAATGATATGTTTTATAATCAACTTGACTATTCTTTGTAGTTGTATTATCTTACCATTTTGCTTTTAGAATTGGAGTCCTTTCTTTTACCATTGAAATAGCAATTGTTTCTGTTGCTACTTCCATTCAATGGCTTTTCTTCCCTTGTAGAGCTGTCAGGGTTCAAGGTTTCCAAATTTTCACAATCCCTCGTCTTAATTTTCTCATTCACCTCATCAACTGGTGGTGTTGAACAATCCTCATCAACCAATGAGGTGGGGGAACATACCCTAGGATCCTTTTGTGAATCAAAATTGCGTTCAATAGACATTGAATTAGAGTCAGCACCTGCAGATAAGAATCACAGAGAAGTTAGCATTGAATTGGTTTAATTAGTATTTCTAAATTTCTTTCCCATTTTTTGATATAAATTAAAATTGATTCACAATTTATAGAATTGATTTAATGAAGTTAAAGTGAACATTTTATTTATATCGAAATGAAAACATAAAACAACATACTCCCTCCATCACACACATATATATAACTGGTTTGACTTTCGTAGATAAAAAAAAAACTAGTTAATATAATTAAATTATAATTTTTGTTTAGTTTTTTTACTAAAATGCTCCTCTATAACATTAGATGATGTATAAATTGGGAATATAGATGTCAATTAAATAGGGAGTATGAATTAAATAAAATTTTTAGAATTCATTTATACCAAACAAAACCTTAACATTTAACTAACCAGATTGAGAATAATTGAGAAGAGCAAAGCACTTACAAGAATTATCTTGGACCGCATCTTTCAAGTAAGGAAGCAATCTTCTATAGCTTAATGAGCCTGGGGTTTTGAACACTTTAACTCTAGACCAAGGGTTCGGACCCTATTTCAGAAATCCAGACCTAGCTTAAATTAGCATAAAAACTCATAATATTCTTTATGGCTATGCAGGAAAAAGATTACACAAATAAAAACTTAGATTGAGTGTAAGATTGTTACATACAGATTTGGGTCCAGCATTGTTTTCAATTTTCTGGTCATTAATGTCTTGAAGACCTCCCTTTTGAAGATTAAAGATCTCAGCATCTGGAGGTGTTGCCTGGATATATTCTTCATTGAAATCGCCAGTCTCATTTGAAATCTTACCATCTCCATCATTTTTCACGTCGTCTTCAACCATAGGCAAATTAATTTCTTCTTTTTTGCTATCCAAATTGGCGCATACTGATTCGAGACCTGAATTATTGCCAATTTTCTGGTCACTAATATATTGATGACCCTCTCTCTTTTGAAGATTAGCACCTGGAGGTGTTTCCTGCGCATATTCTTCATTGAAATCGCAAATCTCATTTGAAATCTTACAGTATCCATTACTTCTTATGTCTTCTTCAGTCATAGGCAAATCATTTTCTTCCTCTTTCTTGCTATCCAAACATTTCCGGTCAATATCCTCTTCATTAATAAAGCAACCGGAGCTCATCTCTTCCAAATTCATAGAATCGGAAGAAAACCCATCTTCAAATTCTCCACTCTTTTTCTCAGATACATTTTTCTCTTTACTATCAAGGCATAATCCAGAAGCATTAGCCACAGAAGCTAGAGAGAAAACCCGTCTGGCGCGAAGATCTTTAATAGATTTTGAAGACCATTCATTTGTATCATCGGCAGAATTTTGGGTCAAAGATTTTCGTCTGACTTTCCTGTTGCGAGACTGAGACTGGAACCCAGCCGAATGTGACCGAAGCTCAGTGTGGTGTTTGCAGTAGCGAAAGGAATCGGTGCGGGATCGACCAGAGCGGTGGCGGTGAAGATAGATCTGAGATTTGCTGCGGGTGAAAATACCTTTGAAAGGATTATGTGGAGAAAATGACCTCTTGCGTTTCTTGGAGTCGAGCTGTCGAGTTTCTTCCATGGCTGTGTGAAAGAGAGAGGGAAAATTGATAGGAAGGAAAATGGTAGTTTTGGAGAGAGAGAAATCTGGCGGGATAAGATAAGGAAAAATGGCGGGAGCGTAACTGAGAGTTGGTCTTTTTTGGCGGGAATTGAAATAGTTCTGTCGGTTTCTAAGGGGAAGGAATCCAAACTTAATACTTAAAAGTACTGTTGAACCCCTAAAAGGCTTAAACTTTTTACAAACAATGACCTATTTAAGAAGGTTAAATGGATAAATTCACCCTAGTATTTTTTTTTTGTTTTTTTTTGGAAGAGAATGGATGGAATGTATTAACTATCAAGTCTTAAAAGATTACAGATATCACCGGGGTGAAGGGAACCACTCCACCCAGGGCCATATTACGGTTTCGGAAATCGGAACCGATGGTTCAAACTGATCTCGAATCGTAATCGGAATTGGTTGGAATTGGAACCGGTCCGAACTAGAACCGGAACCGGAGATTTCCGGTTCGTTTCCTGTTCCAGTTTTGTTGGAACCGCAAACCGGCGGTTTCACAAACCGTTCGGAACCGGTTCGAACCGGCGGTTCTAGCCATTAGAAACTGTCAGTTTTTTTTAAAAAAAATTTTATTGTGAAATTGGTATAAGGTAAGTAAGAAATACGTAGGCTTTGATTCCTCTAAACCCCAAGAGGATATGTAGGCAACTTAATTTTTTTTTTTTAAAAAAATTAAGTTTAAGCCTTTTTTTTTTTTAACTTATATTCAAACTTTTTTAAACAAAAAATAAATTCAGTTGAAGACTTTTTTTAAAAAAAATAATTAAGTTCAAGTCTTTAAAAAAATAAATTTATAAATTTTCAGTTGAAGACTTTTTTTAAAAAAAATAATTAAGTTCAAGTCCTTTAAAAAATAAATTTAAATTGAAGCATTTTTTAAATTTTTTAGGTTATTTATTTTTAGAAATACTTTCACAATGAAATTTATTAAAATTTGAAAACCGGTTTTCAAAAATTTAAAATTTAAAATCATGTTGATTTTGCCGAAAAATCGATCGAACCGTACGTTTTGAAACCGTACCGGAACAAAGGGAACTGTTAAAAAAATAAATTTAATTGAAGCATTTTTTAATTTTTTAGGTGTATTTTTTTTAGAAATAACTTTCACAAATTTATTAAAATTTGAAAACCGGTTTTCAAAATTTAAAATTTAAAATCATGTGATTTGCCGAAAAATCGATCGGAACCGTCGGTTTTGAAACCGTACCGGAACAGGAACTGGAACCGTTCGGTTTCAAATCGAAATCGGAACCGAAAATTTTCGGTTCGGTTCCGGTTCTGAAACCGTGGCCACCCTTAACTCCACTGAGTCTGTCACGGAATGGGCACCCCTAGCTAAAGCATGAGCAACACCATTAGCAGACCTACGCACAAAACTAACACCTAAATCAATGGTCTCACTAAGAAGAGACTTACAATCAGATACTATAGAACCAAAGGAGGAAAAGTCCATATAACTGGGATCAGTAACAGCCCGAACACAAAGTTGAGCATCTGACTCCACAATCACTAGTATTCAGGTGAAAAATTTTGTGATACCTTCGTTTTAGTACTGTAATACCAAAATTTTTGTTTTCAAAACTAATACAAGTTAAATTTAAATCCAGAAATTATCCTGAGACTTAAGGCTCCAATGAGAACCCGATCAAGCTAGGCCCAGATCAAGGAATTTGGGCCTAAGTCCAAAATGACATTATTGGGCTAGATTGAGTTGGAGAACTTTATAGAATCATTTTTGAAGTTTATTGTTCATGATAATAACCTAATATAATTACTTTATAATTTTACTATAATTATTATTAAAAAAATAAAATGAAATGAAATAAATATTAAAATTGAAATTGTATTTTATTTAGGATAAAAGCAACCAAACCAAAAGAATAAACCCACACCAAGCTAAGAACTAAGTTAAATCAAGATAATGCCAAATGAACCACAAACCAAACCAGATATTTTAACTCCACTTTAGCTCTCTCTTTCTGTCTCAAAAGCCTGAAAATCCTTTTCTTCTACAGTTCTACTATTGGCGGCCACTAGAAAATTCTCATATGTTGTCGCTCATTTTCCTTCTAGTCCAATTTTCTTTAATATTTCTTTTTTTTTTTTGGAATAATTATTTTGTGTCTTCTGATATACATGTGAGTTATTATTTTTGATATATTGAGATTATTGTTGCTCATATTTTGAAATTTTATTCTTAAATTTAATCATTTCGACAGTTTGTAGTTTTATTATTCTCACTGTTATGATGATTTTGTTCATGATATTTATTATTTGGATAATTATGCAGAAAAAAATGGGATTCTTTGATAGAAGAAAGAAATTTGAAGGTACGTAATTAAATAAGATTTGTAAAAAAAACTATGAAGTCAAACAATAACTATAAATAGCTATTGAAGCGAGTTATTAGCAAATTTGTATACTTATTTTTCTTAATGAATTTTCAGTTTTGATTTTGAAAAAGAAAAAACAAAAGCTGTGAATTTCTAATGGAGATAAATAGTACAATGTATACATAATCTTTATTAGTAAATAGAGATAAAAATAAAAAATATTTATAAATTGGTTTTCCAATTCGGTTCTGGTGCCGTTCTTTATAAAACCAAAACCTGAAACATAAATTGCGTTAGGTGTGGTACTGGTTCTTATAAGACCTATCCTCTTTTGTTCCGATTGGGTTTAATAGATTTTTTCGGTTTGGTTGGATTCTATGGAATACTGTGCGCAGCCTATTACAAACAAACCATAAACCACAAAGAAATCAAATTTAAAAACCAATACGACAGAGAGTTTGGAAACATAGGATAGAAGATGGAATCATTTCCAACACCCTTCTCTTCGTTATAATTCAAGACAAAACCTCATCAACGAAAGCCTTAAGATTCTTATCCGAAGACCCACTTTCCTTGACAGCTTCTCTCGCCAAATCCTTCCATTTTTTAGCATTTTTTCTTACATCTTTTCCTTTCTCTCCATCTCCCATAACCAAGTCTAAACACCTTGTTATCTCCTCACCTTCTACTATTCCTTCTTCATTTGGCACAACCCTTACCCCTATCTCCCAATCATCTTCAATCAACTTTGCATTTGTTCCTTGATCTGTCCATTGTGGAAAAGCCACCACTGGGACTCCTGAAACTAAGCTCTCTAGTGTGGAGTTCCAGCCACAATGAGATATGAAACATCCTAACGATTGATTAGATAAAACCTCTACTTGATCACACCAAGGCACTATCATCCCTTTCTCTTCCAATTCCTTTCTACAACTTATATCTCCATCTTCTTCTTCTTGTTTCTTATTTGGGTCTTCCCTTATAACCCATAAGAATGGTCGATTACTCTTCAGTAACCCTCGAGCGATTTCTTCTGTTTGCTTTTTGGATAAGATACAAATACTCCCAAATGAGACATAAACAACCGATGATTTTGGTTGCGAGTTTAGCCATTCTTTGTAACTAGTCTTTGAGTTTTGGAAAAGATCAGCGCCAAAACAGGTATCCGACGGATCATTCCCGTCAAGAATGGCAGATGGAAGTAATGGTCCAATCCCAATCATGTTGAACTTATCAATGACTTTTAGGGCTCTGTGTTCTAAAGCATCAAAAGTGTTTACCAATATTTTTGGATTGGTTTCTTTGTTAAGCATCTCTAACTGTTCTGCAAACAACGAAAGAACAAAAGCGTAAGCGTTAGAAGGAACTAGAAATGAAGGAAGGTCGCGACTAGTTAGGGGTTCAAGTCCAGGCAACTCGACTCGGTATAATGGATCACTGCACTTGACGTTTGTGATGACGTTTTTGGATATTAGTGGCTGTGCATGTTATTTCATCTTCAGGCTTAAATAGAGAAGAATGGCCAGGAAAAGGTGACGTTTGTGATGACGTTTTTGGATATTAGTGGCTGTGCATGTTATTTCATCTTCAGGCTTAAATAGAGAAGAATGGCCAGGAAAAGGTGACGTTTGTGATGACGTTTTTGGATATTAGTGGCTGTGCATGTTATTTCATCTTCAGGCTTAAATAGAGAAGAATGGCCAGGAAAAGGTGACGTTTGTGATGACGTTTTTGGATATTAGTGGCTGTGCATGTTATTTCATCTTCAGGCTTAAATAGAGAAGAATGGCCAGGAAAAGGTGACGTTTGTGATGACGTTTTTGGATATTAGTGGCTGTGCATGTTATTTCATCTTCAGGCTTAAATAGAGAAGAATGGCCAGGAAAAGGTGACGTTTGTGATGACGTTTTTGGATATTAGTGGCTGTGCATGTTATTTCATCTTCAGGCTTAAATAGAGAAGAATGGCCAGGAAAAGGTGACGTTTGTGATGACGTTTTTGGATATTAGTGGCTGTGCATGTTATTTCATCTTCAGGCTTAAATAGAGAAGAATGGCCAGGAAAAGGTGACGTTTGTGATGACGTTTTTGGATATTAGTGGCTGTGCATGTTATTTCATCTTCAGGCTTAAATAGAGAAGAATGGCCAGGAAAAGGTGACGTTTGTGATGACGTTTTTGGATATTAGATATGTGTCTGTTGTACAAGATTAGGAAAACGACAATTCTTAAATAAAAAAAAAGGAAAACGGCAGTGTGATATAATAATGGCTCCAGTTGTCTTGTGCGAAATAAATACAGAGAATGGTAATATTTTGATTAGATCGGATTGATGCTTAATGAATGACTCAGACTGAAGGAAGATGAAAAATTTTTATATTTTATTTTTTTTCGCTATATGGTTATAAATACTTTTTTTTTTTTTAAATCTCTTATTTTTAGTTTATGATTACCGAACTCGTCCAAATAAATCTGTAACAATAAATAGAAACTGATTGACGCAACTCCAGTTGTATGGCCAAAGCACATGATCAGTGCATGAGCGAAGAGTAATTCAATCACAGCACGACTGGTGGATATTTGATATACAAAACCTGAACAATTAGGTCAGTCTGAGAAGTGGACATTGTCGTTATGAGGCCAATGCTTGGAGAAAAACAAGAAAAGCTTGTCTTTTTAGCTTGTTTTTTCTTTTCTTGTTTATTTAGATCAATCATAATTTGATTTTTATTTTGTGAAAAAAAAAAATAGAAATGACATATTTAGATGGACCCATTTAATTTATTTGATTGCAATCTATTTTCTTTTTTTTCAATATTAGAGATCAAATGAATCAGAATAATATTATCAGTGAATATTATTTCTTTTAAATGATATTCACCGAATTGTAATTAGGACGACTTAAATCAAAAACTTTTCACCCTTCTTTTATTGATAATCTATTTTGTTATTAGTAAGTTGGTTATAGTTAATGATTAACCGGTAAATGAAATAGGAGAAAATTTTTGTCGAACCGTGTTTGAAAAATTAAAAGGGGAAGAGAAATAATTTAGTTTTGTTTGGATGGATAGATGGGACAGGAACCAAATTTTTATTTGTATAACATTAAAAGGACAATCAAATTCATTTATTTTAATTTAAACTTTAAATCGTTAATAATAATAATACCAATAATTTATATATTGTCCATTTCTCATTCATTAGAGGTCAAGAATCAGGTGCACTTTGGTATTTATTTAGAATATTTTGAGTGACATGGGAATTAAAACTATAATCATTGAGTGAATCCGTTTACTATCTTTTATAAAAGATGCAGGAAATGAGAGATATCAAATTTTGAATTCTCTGTACCGTAAATAGAAAAATTACTCATGTTGTGTAGTTTAAAATGTTATTCTAATTCATTCAACCTCTCATGTATCCACATTATATATATATAAGCAATGAGGTTTTATATTTTTATTCTTTTTTTTTGTTAAACTATTCAGTATCCGAAACTTATATATTAATCCGATTAATTCGAATTCGTACCATGCATGCTCAAAGAAAGGAGCAAAATGTTTTTTCTCAAGTATCTGAAAGGATCTCATATTTAGCGTTTGAATTCGAGACTTATAGCTAAAAGAGAAGGGATCTCTGCCTATTCCATCTCAACTCTCCATAGTTCTTCATCTGGATATTGAGTCTCGGAGAGTGATTCAATCCAATAAGGCTGCATCTGACAGATTTATTTCAAAGAAAAAACGAAACAAACATGCTAGAGAGAAAATTTTGTTATTTTCTAGGACAAGTTTTAAAACAAATAAAAATAAATAAATGAAACAAGTAAATAAAAGATTCAAAAAGCTAGAGAGAGAAATAAAACAAATCCAGAGATTGAAACCATAAAAATCCGAGAAAGAGAAAGCAATAATGAAAACAGAAAAGCTATAGAGAATTAAAACCAACGTATAAGACATAAAAAAAAAGTAGAGAGAGAGTTTTAAGAGACAAAATTCTGTATATTTTGAAGAAGTGAGATGGAAAAGGGGAAATCAACCTGGGATGCTCAGATCATGGAGTTGAAAGAACAGTATGGATAGGGAGAATTTTGAGTTCGAGAGTACGAGAAATTAAGGTCAAACTGTGTTTTTTTATAGTTTATGCTTCACGCGCTTTGACAACTGAAATTTGGGGTATTTTGTTCATATATTATAAAGTTAGGGGTGAAACCATCAAAAAGTTAATTTTTAGCAAAATGAATATCACATCCAAATTTGGGGACCAAATTGAGCTTTCTTCCATTTTAATTAAACATTAGTTGAATTAATATTTGGGAAAATTACAGTTTGTTTTCTATAATTTGAAAAAATATAATTAGTCGATTTTTATCTTTTTGAAAATAGATTAATACCCTAAAATGAATTAAGTACAAAATTTACAGTGAAGAGCAAACATAATTAAGTAGAAAGTTTCTGAAAATAATATATTCACGTAACAACTTAATTAGGTTTAATTAAGACTTTTGCACTAAATAGTTGTTGAATTAATGCTCTATGGTTTGAGATTATTGAATTGAACAAGCTTTATTATCTACCTATTTATTTATTTATAAAAATATATAAAAATAGAGTCTTAAAATCTGAGTTAGCATTCTCTTACAGTTTTAGAATATTGAAGTGACACGATAAGTTCGCTTAAATGATGTTATTTTCTTCACAAGATCATACCCCATCAAAAAATTCGCGTGTAAAATAGAAGAGTCATTATTGTGATCGAGTTTTAAATAGAAGCAAATAGCTGCTTCAAAGACCCGAACAAACATATTACAACGTTTCAGTTTCACATTACTATCACTAAAATGAATTGTGAGCTTTGGAAATTAAATTTCAGATTCAGTAGTATAATTATAAAAAAATTGGAAGAAAACTCCAACAACAGTTTTGGATTTGAAGAGTATATAAATTTATGATGATAGATTTGCAGTTCTAAAATTTAGAAAATTTGCCATTTTGAATATAAATATTTGATTTTCTTGAGAATTTTTGGATTATGAGTAATATGTTTTTTTGCAATTTTAAGAATTATTTTCCTTTAGTTTGCTTTCCCCTTTCACTCACATTACATAATTAAAAATTCAACCAGATGATAATAATTTACGAAATATGCTGAAAAAACTCCATTTTGGGTATTGCCATAGTGTCATTGGAGCAGCCAATGGACCACTGCCAAATTGTTAATCTACACATCAAAACACTCATCTCATCGCGTGGATCACACGTTTTACATTTATTTTGCATAGGTGTGAGTCATTTCGCCAGAATCAAACATAGAAATTTCGACAAATTAACCTCTAGAATTACCATTTTGATAGATTTTTCCATTATAATTCACAAATAGAACATCAATCGAAAGGGCAGATAAAGAGAAGTGAAAAGGTAATTATATTGCACTGTGGAATAGCCGGAAAAACCGTAAATCAACAGGGAGGGTGTTGTTGTAATTGTAGTTGAAGCACTCTTCATGGTGCTTTTTGATTTCTCAAGAGTATATATGATTTTGTTGTAGTTCTATGCAGCGCATCAGTGTTTCACGGATTAAAGGAAAAAAAAGAAAAGAAGATCATGATAGTTAGCGAACGTTGATTAAATTTTTCATGTCAATTATATATTTCGGTCTCTCTCTATTTTTATGCTAAAATTAATTTTAATTTGTTTAGAATAAGAAATCCTATGCTGAATAGGAAAATAAGACTCAATATAAGTAAATTAATTATTTTTTTATTTTACAAACCCATTTATTTTTTAATTCATTAATAGATGTAGAGATCATTATTATTATTTTGAATTCCTTTTCTTATCTATATTTACACATTTTCTTTGTTTCAGTCTAAAAATTAAAATCAAAAAATTTTCAAAATAATAATAATAATTCAATATTAATAATTATTTTAGAAATATATATTCATTCCCCGGTTATTTTTTTTAAATTGTAATTTATTAATTTATAAATAAATTATATAAAATTTTAGTAAATTATTATATTTAAACCTCATTCAAATTCAAAATATCTATTTCAAATTTAGATTCTGTAATACCCCGAATTTTTATTTTCAAAACTTTTGAATTTTCATTAAATCAAAAATCCAGATAATATTAATAATGTAATTTTAGAAATATATATCATGTCCCCGTTAATTTTTTAAATTGTTAATGTTTATTAAAATTTAATAAATAAATTATAAATTTTATATAATTTATATGCATTAATCAAAATATCTAATTCTATACTGTAATACCTGTTTAAATTTCAAAACTTTGAATTTTCATTAATCAAAAATCCAGATTTATGATAATAATGGTCCCTGTTAAGACCCGAGAATTCACTAATTGAGCCCAAGTTTTTTACGAATTGACCCAAGCCCCAAAAACATATACTTACGAATTTTTTTCCGTTTGGGTAATACTTAAAATTATCGATAAAAAAAAAAATGAAACAACTAAATTGTTAATTTCGATTAAAAAATGTGGTCTTATATATAATATTAAACTGACTATAGTAGAATTAATCAGCCTAAAATTAAAATATCTTTTGTTTATTAATATTTTATGAATGAAATTGGAAAATTTTACGGAACTGAACAAAATAATCAAAATAAATTGACCGGACCAAAAATCAAATTAATTTTTTCAAAACCAGATGAAAAAATCCCATAAAATCAAAGTTGAAAAACAAGCAAACCATGAATTTAAAAACAAACAGACTTGAAATCGACCCAAAATAAAAAAACCCCCAATCCACAGAAAATCGAATCAGACCGGTGCAATTTAAGAAATTCTAGAAAAAAAAAGAAAAAAAAAAAAAGAAAAGAAAAGAAAAAAAAGAAAAAAAACCGGGGGAGAAAAGGGGAAAAAAAAAAAAAAAAAAAGAAGACTCAGTGGTCTCCTTCTCTCGCTCCCCTCTTCTCAACAAATCCCTCCCCTTTTTTCTTTCTCGTGTCTCCGACCGACCGGCAAAGCCAAATCCGGGCAAAATAGATACTCTAAAAATTAATCTAACTCTCGCGCAAAGAGTTTCTATTTTTAAACTTTGGTTTGCAGCGATTTGAAGCGCGGATTGAAAGAAATCTCAAAACCGAAACATGTAGCACCGGTGCAAACAAACCTTCTTCTCAGCGATTTTTCACCCTCCGCTTCCCACGATGAAACCTTGAGGCGTCGAGTAGGTGGTGACGAACTCCCTCGTTCTCCTCTCTTCTTCCTCTTTCATTTGGTGGCCTCCTCGTCGACTGTAATAGCCGGAATCGAAAAACCCAAAATGGGTTTCACCAAACCTTTCCGGTCAATTTCCGGCCAAATAGTTCATACTCACCTTGATTTGAATACATATTAGTGATCCTCTAATCGAAACGAATAAAATGATATATTGTTTGTTAATTTTGGTGAAGATTTGAATTTTCCGGCCACCGTGCACGGCGGCGGCGGCGTTCCGACGACCGGCCGGCGAGGCTCCGGCGAGGACTTCAAAGGCAGAATGTTCTCCTCTTCGCGCGGATCACGGAAATCAAATTCGATTTTAAATCCGATTTTCGATCGGTACACTCTAAAGCTTAATTAGCAATTTTTGAATAAATCCCGAGATAATTAAT